AAAAGACGGGCACAAATCTTCATGACATTAGCTTATGGCAAGATTTCCCAGGTAATGCAATCTAAAAATGATCCAAGTAGACATTTCATGAGTGAAGATAAATATATGGTCAAAAGTACATGAAAAGACGCTAGCATCGTTAATCATTAAGGAAAAACAAACCCAAACCACAGTGAAATACTACTTCAATCAAGCTGGACATATTATCATTGAAAAGACAGATGATCACGAATATGGACAAGAACGTAGAGGAACTAGAACCCTCGGATTTTGCTGGCTGGACTATTAAAGAATATAGCTGATTTGGAAAATAGTCTAGTCCTATGTATACACACACACACAGACACACACACAAACTTGCACATGAATGTTTACAGTAGCATTATTTGTATTATCTAAAAAGCTGTAACAATTCATATATCTATCAATTAATGGTGCATAAAAAACGTGGTCTATCTATCCATACAGTGGAATGTTATTTAACAATATAAAGGAATAAAGTACTGATACATGCTATAAAATAGATGCATCTTGAAAACATTATGTATGCTAAGTGATAAAAGCCAGTCCAACATGTTTTTTTTCCAACTCATAATGCCCTGTGGGGCAGGGTAAAGTTGCTTCTGTGAGTTTTCAACACTGTAACAATTTTTTTCTGTTTTTTTTAATCATTTTATTAAGGGCTCATACAACACTTATCACAATCCATACATACATCCATTGTGCCAAGCACATTTGTTGCCACCATCATTCTCAAAACATTTGCTTCCTACTTGAGCCTTTGACATCAGTTCTTCATTATGACCCTCCCTCCCTGCTCCCCCCTCCCTCATGAGCCCTTGATAATTTACAAGTCATTATTATTTTGTCATGTCTTACACTGTCCGACATCTCCCTTCACCCACTTTTCTGTTGTCCGACTTCCAGAGAGGAGGTTAGATGGAGATCCTTTTAATCGGGTCCCCCTTTCCACCCCACCTTCATTTCACCTTCCTGGTATCACCAGTCCAACATATTTTATGCTTCCATTTATATGAGATGTCCACAATAGGCAAATCTATAAAACTCACTTCTGTCCTGTAGATCCTGACTCAGAACAACACTGCAGGGTTCTGAGGCTTTGTATTTCTTTGCTGGAGCAGACAGCCTCAGCTTTCTCCCTCGGAGCAACTAATGGTTTGAACTGCCAACTCCGCAGTGAACAGTTCAACTCATTCCGGAAACCACCACCAAGGCGCCTAAAGCAAATCTAGAGACAGAAAAGTCATAGAAATTTTCCCAGAGCTATGGTGGGGCTGAGGAGAAACGAGGCATGACTGCTAATGAGTACAGGCGCATGGGGTGGAGAACTGAGAAAAATGTTTTAAATTGATCATGGTGATGACTGCTGAAATCTACATATATATTAAAATTCATTGCATTATATATCACAATCCATACATACATACATACTAGGTAAAGTGTATGCTGCGTGAATTAGACGTACCAGAATCAACTTGACAGTGAGTTTCAGTTTGTGTGTGTGGGTGTGTAGAAAGTGGTTATAAATTGTAAAAAGAAACACATCCATTTTTCTTGGACAGAGATAAAAGTTACATTCTCATCCAATTTCTCTCTCTCTTTACTTCAGAAGTAAGTTTATAAGATGGCGAGCCAAAAAAGTCCATTTCTGTGCACATTCAAAGCTCACTAGTCCCACTAACTAGCTCAGATAAAGTACGAGAGCCAAAAAATAGTAACAACAATAACCACGCACCCCTACTAAAACTGAGTCCGTTCTAACTTACCACAACCCTATATAGGGGTTCCAAGGCTCTGTTAATCATTAAAGGTGCAGAGAGCCTCATCTTTTTTCCACTGAGTCACTGGTAGGTTTGAACCACCAACCTTGAGGTTGCGATACAACACTTGCCCAACAATACCACCAGGGCTCCTTTTTAAGCTGCCCATTTCCGTTTCCTAGAGTCCTGCTGTTGTAGCGGTTGGTTACAAGTTTGGGCTCTGATCCCCCAGCCGCTCCAAGGAAGAAAAATGAGGCTTTCTACTCTGTAAAGACTTACAGTGTCTCCAAAACCCACAGGGGCAGTTCTACCCTGTCCTATAGGGACACCGTAAGTCAGAATCAACTCGATGGCAGTGAGTTTAGTTTTTCTTTTTTTTTTCTCTCAACATCTCCTTTGCATTTATGTTTTCGCAAGTTTTAATGGCATATAATTCACATATCATATAATTGGATAGTTCATTCACATCCTGAGGAGTTGTACAATCATCACCACAATCAGTTTTAGGATTTTCTTCATTCTTGGTCTCATCATTATTAGCTCCCCATTTCCCCCACCCCCCACCACACCCCAAGGAACCATTACTCCATAAGCCTCTATAGGTTTACCTATCCTGGATTTCACATATATAAAAACATTTTTTTAAGTCACAGTAATAATAAAGTAAAACAGATTAAAACCTCAATGGAAAAGAAGGTAGAAAAATTAAAAACTACAACAAATTTAAATGGATCATAAGGGAAAGCAAATGATAGCACTGTATTTTAACTTAACTGCATCCACAACAATCCAATTCCCACTGCACTCTGCATGACAGCAAGACTATTTGCATCCCTGGTGGGGGGGGGGGGTGCACCACCCCCATGTCTGCCATATTGACTTGACAATGCTCTCTGCCTGATAATAGGGCTATATCACATCCTTCAACTATGATTGGAAGGGATTCACGGGAAGCTTAACTCACCCTGCCAATGGATTTGGGGGCGTTTGGTTTTCAATTTCCTAGGCTGCAATGGATTCAAACTGCTGACCGTTTAGTTAACACTACAATGCACCACTCATGAAAGAGCAGGAAGGAGGCTACCCTGAGGTAGTCCTAAGCTTTCACTTACAGGAGAGAAGACAAAGATCACTTTGCTACAGGCCATCAACCTAAGAATCATCTCCACCGTTACCTTTCTGACTGAATCAAAAGTCACCAGGCCGCTGAACACCATGGTGGCCCTGCTCTTGTCATACCCCGGTCTCTGACGAATCCAACATCCATCTACACTTCGCTTCCTTGGGCAGATACATTTCAGGCTCTCAGGGAAAGCAGGATTATCATTGACTATTGGAGCTAGAAGAATGCCTTAGGGACCATCCAAGTCAACCCCCTCCTCTAGACAAAGAAACGGAAAACAGAAATTAAGGGACTTGTTCAAGCTCTCAGAGCTATCTGGTGGCAGAGCTAGAACCAGAGCCCAGCCTCCCAACATCCAGCTAGCTCAGTGTCTGTCCCTTTTCCAGTTCTTGGACCTACACCTTCTCGATGGCATCCCTGGCAAGGGAGAACATAGGTGCAGAGGACTCGCTGGTTAATCTCTCCACACGATGGTGTGGCAGAAGCACTATAAACTATACTTTCTCTTTTTAAACAAAATCTTAGCAGTGCTCTGGATAGCTCCCACCCCAAGCCTATCCTGAGAGTCACACATGCCTAGTCCTCAGGATGGAACAAAACACAGACCAAGAAGTCCAACCATGCCCAGTGAAGTTAACGACAGACATTAGACTACAAGTCTTAGGCTGGGACTATTTTTGCCTGCCCCATATAGAATTCATATATTCGTGTTTATCTATCTCTTTTTCTTTTTCTTTTTCTTCTCTCCCCTCCCCTCCTCTCCTCTCTCTTCTCTTTTCTTTTCTGTCTCTCTCTCTCTCTCCCCCCACCCATTTTCAGTCCACATGGGTTGAGATGAATCTCAAATACCTTAACATCAGGCTTTGGGACTCAGGTTTGGTCAATACATCCCTCTGGCTCTGGCTCAGAGATGGATACAACTTATGTCATCACAAGAATTAGTCTACCTGGGAATGCAGGCAACAATGAAGCCATCAGAGGCAAGTCTGATGTCGATTGTGCTTCTGGACCCAGTTGCACTAGAAGCCAATGCAACCCCTTTTTGCCTAAATCATGTTAAGTTCATTTTCCATCGGTTAAACTGAAAAGAGTTCACACTTTTTATATTTGGTGGGATTCAAATTCTGCCACTGGTGGAGGTACCTAAGGAAATGGCAATCTCCCTCCACCCCCACCCCCATTATCCATTTGCCTGAACCCATTTGCAACATTTAACAGACAGTTCCTTTCTCATGTAGGATTGCAACACCTCATCACACCTGGCCATAGATGACCACACCCTTCCACAGGTTCTTGCTCATCCTAATACAGTGTGGGAAGGCCAAGGCCAAGTCTGGGTCAGCTTGGGATTTGTCCACTCACAACACAAGCCGTGGTCTGTGTTCAGCACGTGAGTCTCAAGTGGTGTGGGTGACCCGAGTTGTTTGGTTGCTGACATTTGTGGCGTGAAGTGTGATCCTGCTAACCTGGTTAGCGGCTCTGAGAAGTATACCCTGGCTGGGGGTGGGGAGGCGGGATTACAGTCTAAGTAATTATTTGTTTAAAGTGAGTCTGGCATGTTTCCTTCCAACGTCCCAGCGTCAGGGAGTGCCCACGGAAATCCTTAGGCCAGGTTTCCCAGGGGATTAAACCCGAGTATTTCCTTATACAGCCTCTGAAACCATGTGGGTGGGGAAGGGGAGGCGGCGGCCGGTCTTCCTGGAGATGACAGATCGCAAGGTGAATTTTCAGGTTGTAACTTAAGCAGCAGATTCTCGGGAAAGAGGGCGGGGCTCCCCACCTTCTAGGACCCCGAGAGCAGTCCGAAGGGGCCAGCTTCCTGCACCAGCGTCGCCTTCCTGCAGGGTCGGGGGAGACAGGCACCAGCGGCGGGTCGGCGGGCTCCGATTGCCCCGGGATGCCCGCGGCCCCGCCGGAAACGAGCCGGAACTTGCCGGCTGACCGGCTCCCGCCCCGGCGCCAGCTCCGGGGGTCTCCGCCGGACTTGACTCGGGCCCGCCCGGCGCTCGCCCCAGCCCCCTGGAAGCAGCCCGATCGCCCAGGCCCGGAGGAGCGCACGCTGCCCGGCCGCCGGCTCCCCGGCAGCTCGTCCTCACCTGACTCGCGGAGGCTTCCTGGAGGCTGCCATTCGGCGGTGACGTGCGGGGACCACGTCAGAAGAGCGCAGACCAGCTGATCACCCCGCCGAGGGCGGGAGCGGGCGGGCGCGCGCGCACCGGCCGGCCCGCCGCAGACCACGCCCCCCTCTGTGGCGTGCGCGCGCCGAGGCCCCGCCCACCGCGGCCCGGGGCCCTGGGCGTGTGGGGTCGGCTGGGGCTCCGCGGGCCTCTCGCGCTCCCTGCAGCGGCGCGCCATCGTTCTGTCCATGTTCTTGGCCTTTGCCGCACCGCGACGGGCTGTCCCGAGGATGCTCGGGCCTTTAAGAGGAGCAGGTGGCGTGGCCGATTCTGGGAGAATCTGGTCTAGACCGCGAGGCTTTGGAGCAGGGTCTTATTTTAGGGGGTCTTTGGAGTTGCCCACAATTATTTCTCTGTCGCAGTGTTTCTCAGAATGAACAATCGCGCCTCCTGGAACGACCCAGGGAAGCTGCGGAAGCAATACCTCCACTTTACCCCGGATTATGGCCTGTATGTAGTTAAAAAGTTTTTCATTGCCAGGAAGCGCTGAGGGTTTTGTTGGTTTGTTTTTTCCTGAAAAGGAAAATATATATTTCCTCCTGGAATGTGCGCCCCCAGAATGTTCATTCCTCAAAAGCAGGAGGGTCTCCAGTTCATTGCTATCTCCCTCCCTGCTGCTTAGAACAGTACCTGGCACAGAGTTGGCACCAAATAAAACTGACCACGTTTTTTAAACGGTGACGTCCCTTTGGAGTTATGGTCAATGAACATGGTCCCTTATGTGATGTACTATAATTCTGGACTTGATAAGCCTGTGGCTATAGTCCCAAATTGGAAAAGTCTCTGCTGTACTAATGGACAGGAATAGGGTAGGATGGAGACCTTGGGAAAAGGTGAACCAGGCCACACCCTGTTTCCTTGGGGGCATCTTTGTTTGACTTTACCTTGTTTGAGTGTGTGACTTAAGATCTAGCTTCCTTTTGAGGGTAGATAGACTGGTTCCAGCACACACGAAGAGCCCTGCTAATGTATGATTATGCTTTGGGGGCAAGCTGCAAGGTCAGCAGTTTGAAACCACCAGCTGCTCCTTGGGAGGAAGATGGGACTTTCTACTCCCATTAAGAGTTCCAGTCTCAGAAACTTACAGAGGGCATTCTCCTCTGTCCTGTAGGGTCGCTATGAGTCGGCTTCAACTCATTAGCAGTGAGTCTAGCACACACCGGCTCCCCTGAACAGCCATAGCCTGTTTCCCGACTGAGCTTTGGGAGAAGCAAGGAGACTTGCTGAGGCTTGGGGACATGTGTGGCTTCTGGCTCTGGATGCTACATTTGACATGCTTCTGCCTAACCTTCAGATCTGGGTCTGAACAACGCTCACCGCCCCCAGAGACATTGAGTTGCTGTGGGATGTTGCAGGGACTCACAGGATCCAGGGATGTGAGGACTATACTCAAGGGAGGAGTTGGGGGAGAATGGAGCAGAATAGCATCTTGACAAGATTGGACATTTGGGGCATCTTTAATCCCCAACTCCTTGCGACTCAAACTCATTGCCATCGAGACAATGCTGACTCACAGCAACCCTAACGGACAGGGTAGAACTGCCCCTGTGACCTTCCAAGACTGTCACTCTTTACAGGAGTAGAAAACCCTGTCTTTCTCCTCAGGAGCAGCCGGTGGTTTCAAACTGCTGACCTTGCATTTACCCATCCTACTTGTGACCATTATGCCACCGAGCTTCCTTCCTTGGGACTAGTCTGGCATTAATTCTTCTCAAAGAAATTATTGCCACACTACCTTCTTGTTTTGACGTTGGTAAAGCCTTAGTACAACTATCAAATGGGTTTTGCTACCAGGTGGTCTATACAGGAAAGCAGTAGCACTGGGAGGTATGAACACTTTCTAACAATCATTTGCGATCTCAGGGCAGCTGTTGCCCAAGAACAAAGTTCAGAAGGGTTTGGAAAGAAGAAGGAATGGAAACCGGAAGGAAGAGGAGGGATAAATGGCGGTACATTGAGGGGACCGTAATGAATGAGATGAAACAAAATGTGCAGAATTGTTGAATGGTAACTGATGCATCTCTGTACACCTTCACCCAATTTCCAATAAAGAGTTTTTGAAAACGACAGACTTCAGGACCAATTTGGGGGTCACGGGTGGCTATTAATGTCTGAGGGAAGGAAAGCTGTGGATCTAATGAGGGACTGATAAGAAAATGGAGTCCTGACCAAGTGGTCAACAATTACTCTAGAACAAAGATGAGAATGTAAGGCGACAGGGACATTAGATTAATGGGAGCTGTCCACCTAGAATGGAAATGCTAAGACTGTTCACACATTGTAAGGGACCATCAAGTCAATGATGACTCATAGTAGCCGTATAGGACAGGGCAGAACTGCCCCTGTGAGTTTCTGAGACTGTAGTTCATTATGGGAGTAGAAAGTCCTGTGTCTTTCTCCCAAAGAGCGGCTGATGGTTTCAAACTGCTGACCTTGGGGTTTGCAGCCCAATGCATGACCAAGACACCACGAAGGCTCCGTGAGGAACATAGCCAATGTCATTGAACTCTTTGTGTAGAAATGATTGGCTGATAGATTATACTTCCGTGTAAACCTTCACTTAAAACACAATACAACATTAAAGGGAAGTAAAAAGTTTTGCTGCCTGTAAGAACTCGAAGCTCGAATTATTCAAACAGGACTTTAGATCAATTAAATCTGGTCCTGCCAAAGAAGGAGGAAAGAACTACAAAGGTGCCCTTGCAAAGCACCAAAGCTCCCTTCCTCTCAAGTGCAGGGAGTCCACAGGGGCGAGAGAGATGATTAATAGAATGACTGGTTCCAGGCCTAGCCTGAGAGTGGCTGGGAAAGATGAAGCTGTGAGAGAGAATTGTTGCTACCCGGGGAGAGAGAGAGAGGCGGGACCTAAAGGGAACAGATTTCATAATCACGTTGCCTAGGAGAAGAGGCGTTAGCTCAGAATTTACAGCGTCTGGGTTGAAGGGAGAGAAAGAGAAACACTGTACTTTTTGTTCCCTGAGCCTGATTTAAATGCCGGTCTGCAAGATAACAAGGCTCCCCTCCGCTCTTGAACTTCTTTGAAGAGAACTGCAGGGAGAAGCTGAGCAGAATTAGCACCGGAGGGTGAAAAGGCCTGCACTGACAGGTTCTTCGGCTGGTTCCAGCAGGCCCTCACATCTTTGAAGGGGAGGGGGCGTTTTCCGAGCGCTTGGTGGGGAGCCCACAAGAACCTAGTGTGTGCAGAACTAGCCTCCTCATTGTGCAGACCGGCCCGCTGAGACCTGCAGAGAAATCAACAGCACCGGGTGAAAAAAACAGCTCCTGTCAAATCTGAGTCATGGCGCCCCCGTGTGTGCCAAAGTAGAACTGTACTTCCTCTGTTAGGTTTGCGGGGGCTGAATTTGAGGAAATAGATTGCCAGACCTTTCTTCCAAAGCACCCCGGGGTGGACTTGAGCCTCCAATCTTTTTGGTTAGCAGCCAAGGATGTTGACGATGGAAGAGACCTTAGAGGTCACTTCATCCAACCCACTGGACCATGCAGAGGATTGGGAGGGGCATGGATTGCTCATTCAAACACATACTGAATTGGCCTTAGATGCACAGAAAAACCTCCCTTGCAGTTAGCAGCCCAGTGGGCAACCACTATGCCACCAGAGCCTTTAAGTCAGCAGTGGGGTCGCCCGATTCATCACAGTAGCAAAATTACAGTGATGATGTAGCAATGAAAATAATTTTATGGTTGGGGGTCACCACAACATAAGGAGCTGGATTAAAGGGTCGTGGCATAAGGAAGGTTGAGAACCACTGCCTTAAGTGCATGGAAAGAAGTACCAAGTGCCCAAGTATATAAATTGGCCCCTAACATCCCTCTATGCTCCTGCTGGGAACCATCCTCCTATTTCCCATTGGGGAGTTGTCACTCCTCCCTTGCTCATCTCAGTCTCTGTTATGCTGGCGAAGTTCTGGGGTTCCAAGGATGGATCATATGACCCAGGCATAAGCCACAGTGAAGGCTCAGCGGTTGCAGTGCAGTGAGCTTTTCACGATGAATATTTCACGATGAATACAGCAATAGTGCCTCGCTGGTGTGGGCCAGGTGAGAGAGGACCTGCATGTATCTACTCTGGACTGCTGCCTTTACCCTGAGCCTGAGACAGGCATGGAAGCAGCAGAAGCAGAGCAGAGAGTGCAGGAGAAACAGAAATGTCCTAATAGTATTTGAGCCCTAGATCTGGCCACTCCTTAAACCTGATCTTTTCAGCAGTCAGCCACAGAAATTCCCTTTCTGTATGTAAGTCAGGTTGATAAGAGTTTTCTTTTGTTTACACTCGAAAGCCTCCTCACTGATTCCATTAGGCTCCATCTGCAAATATTTGCTGCATGAAGTAGAGATCCATTTCTTAATGTATACAATAAATAAAAGGGTAGGCTACAAACAAATATTCTATTTAAAAATGATTTCTATGAAAATGAAACTCAAAATACTCACCACTCCTTCGGCTCTCTCTCCTTCGTACACACAATAAAAGCACCCGCTCCATCCTCCAAATCTGAGCTCTATAACCAATAGCACCCACTGCCATCAGGTCAATTCTGACATATAATGCTCATATAGGCCCAAGTAGAGTTGTTCCTGTGAGTTTCTAAGGCTGTAAATCTTCATTGGCGAGGAAAGCCTCATCTGTCTCTCTTGGATAGGGTGGTGGATTTGAACTACCAACCTTGCAACTAGCAATCCAGTGATTACCCCACAGCTCCGTGAGAGCTCCTCACAAGCCACAGTAAACCTCCACTACTCAACATAATAACTGGTGGGAGACCTGAGCGTTTACTGGGTGGGGACAACATCCCTTTTGACAAACCCCCAGATGAGAAGACTAAACAGTAAAGTTTTTCATACGAGATAAAAAATTAAAAGAGAGGGCTTTTAATTGCTTCAAATAGTTCAGTTTGTTCTAATACAATTGATAGCTATAGGAACAGTGATGAGTGAGGCGCTCATAAATTATTACAATATGGCCAAGTTCTTTCCTTGT